TTCCGATTGGCTGTGCAGATTTTTTAAAATGTTGCTTGGGCAGCAGCTGCCCCCACAGCACAAGGATCTGCACTGTGTGACTGAAGCGGAGCTGGGGCAATCATTTTGTGGCTGGCTCCCCCTCGCGTAGCAGACATTTTGTGGCACCTATTTGGCTGCTGTGCTCACCATGCTGTGTCAAAATTCCAAATGTCCCCACAGGTTCAAAAAGGTTGGGGAACCTCTGCCTTCATGGCTAAACAGCTTTTCCAGCACTGTTTCTTCCATGGACATCTGCAGAAGTGAGTGTCGTCACACTGCAATCAATCAGTTCCAGCTCAGTCCTGTGAATGCCTCTGACTTTGGTGGGGCTGATTTAGAATGCTCAGGGTTACAGGTAATTCCAGAGGGGTAGCTGTGTTAAGTCTGTAGCAGCAAGATGAAACGGGAGTCCAGTGGCACCTTAAAAGACTAACAGCATTTATTGCAGCATAAGCCTTTGTGAGTTAGAGCTCACTGCAACAGAGGCAATGAAGTGTACATCCATTAGCCTGGTGCAACTGTATTTACTTTTGAAATGTGGTGGGTGGGAGATGTTACAAAGAGATTTCAAACAAGGTCCAGTACTGAGAGCAAGTGATTCACTCAGAGCGATTGGGGACCATCTTCAACTGCAGACAGATAAACAAGGTAGGATCAAACATAAAACTTAGTGCAAGATAAGCCAATACACTAGGAAGTTACAATGGTATAGACCAGTGATGGCAAAACTTTTAGAGACCGAGTGCCCAAACTGCGACCCAAAACCCACTTATTTATCGTAAAGTGCCAACACGGCAATTTAACATGAATACTGAGGTTTTACTTTAGAAAAAAACAACTCATACATTAACTTAAGATGATCCAAACAAAGTAAGGAAAGCAAGCCCAAATGCTTTCATTTACTTAAAGTTATTTGGCAGAGAATTCGACACTTTAATGATGGTCTGGGCCTGGCTGGGGCGATGGCACGCGTGCCCACAGAGAGGGCTCTGAGTGCCACCTCTGGCACCCGTGCCATAGGTTCGCCACCACTGGTATAGACTATACCACTGAACTAATTGGCATCTGCATTGGGTATGATATGCAAGTTATTAACAGCTGTAGTGCCTGAGGAATCCCTGATTCCTGTGATGTTTTGGGGAGGTTAATTGTCTTGTGTTGTGTTAATTGTGTTGGTAGAAAGTGCCATCAAGTTGCAGTCAACAACTTACACGATGCCATAGGGTTTTCCAGGCAAGAGGAATTTCGGTGGTTTGCCATTGCCTGCCTCTGTGTGGCAACCCTGGGCTTTCTTGGTAGTCTCCCATCCAAGCACTAACCAGGGCCAGCCCTGCTTAGCTTCTGAGATCTGACAAGATCAGGCTAGCCTGGACCGTCCAAGTTCTTGAACTTGTTAGTGAAGTCTACTTCAGAAACCTCCCTGTTGGATTCTCCCTTTGAATGCTGCAGGTGTGATCTTTCAGGGCCGCCAGCACTCTGTGGCCAGGATCCAAACAACTGTGCAACTAGTTCCATCTACCCCAGGAGTGGGGTCCTTTGGGGTGCGGTTGCCCAGCAGCCTCCCCCTACGGCCACATGGCAAATGGCTCTTGCAATGGGAGGGGGGATTTGGAAAGCAGTTGTGGCACTAGAGTAGCAGACAGGGTGTGAGACTACAGGGCTGCCAACTCTGGGCGGAGCCTGGGAGAATGAGGTTTAGGGAAGGGAGGGACCTTGGTGGGAGACAATGCCATGCAGCCCACCTTCCAAAGCAGCCATTTTCTCCAGGAGAAGTGGAATAAATGTAATAAATAAATAATACATGATGTATGTAGCTTGGGGATCAGCTGTAATTCTGGGTGGTCTCCAGCCTCCACCTGGAGGTTGGCAACCCTATGTGAGAGACATTACGGTTCTTCAGAAGAAGAAAAAGTCAGACATCTATTTGGGCATGGAGAAGTCCTCTAAAGGAGCTTCCTGGATCCCAGCTTGTATTTGTAATAGAAAAGTACTCTGTATGTGTTCAGAGGCATTTGTGAATACAAAAGATTCCTTGATATTTGATAGCTGATTAGGGCTGCCAAGTCCCCCTGGGGGGCGGGGAAACCCCTGCCCCAGAGGTCCGTTCCCCACCGCCAGCGGATCGGGCCCCGGGGGGAACCCCACCCCGGCATGCGCGTCACCAGGAAGTGACATTATGATGCTGGGCACGCTGGGGGCAGGGCCACGACCATCCGAGGGGGAAACTCTATGTTTCCCCCTTGGATGGTCATGGCCCCGCCCCCAGCGTGCCCGGCGTCATAACGTCACTTCCGGTGATGTGTGTGTGGTGTGTGCGCACTTTGTGCACGCACACATAGAACGCCGGATGAGAGTCCCCCACTCCCGACGATTTTCGACTTGGCAACCCTATAGCTGATGTAGTGGAGTGGAGTGGCAAATAGGGTTCAGTGTGGCCAAGTGCAAGGTGATGCACATTGGAGCCAAAACTCCTAAATATAAATACACACTGATGAGGTCTGAACTGGCAGAGACTGATCAAGAGAGAGATCTTGGAGTTGTAGTAGATAACTCACTGAAAATGTCGAGACAGTGTGTGACTGCAATAAAGAAGGCCAATGCTATGCTGGGGATTATTAGGAAGGGTATTGAAAACAGATCAGCCAATATCATAATGCCCCTATATAAATCAATGGTGAGACCTCATTTGGAATACTGTGTGCAGTTCTGGTCACCACACCTTAAAAAGGATATTATAGCTTTGGAAAAAGTGCAGAAAAGGGCAACTCAAATGATAAAAGGGTTGGAACACTTTCCCTATGAGGAAAGGTTAAAGCGCTTAGGGCTCTTTAGCTTGGAGAAAAGACGACTGAGGGGTGACATGATCGAGGTTTATAAGATTATGCATGGGAAAGAGCAGGTAAAGAAAGAGGTACTTTTCTCCCTTTCTCACAATACAAGAACCCGTGGGCACTCCATGAAATTGCTGAGCGGTCGGGTTAGAACGGATAAAAGGAAGTACTTCTTCACCCAAAGAGTGATTAACACATGGAATTCACTGCCACAGGAAGTGGTGGGTGCTACAAGCATGGACGGCTTCAAAAGGGAATTAGATAAGCATATGGAGCAGAGGTCCATCAGTGGCTATTAGCCACAAGGTATAGCTAGGGGCTCTGGGGCAAGTGATGCTCTGTCTTCTTGGTGCTTGGGGGGGGGGTCAACAGTGGGAGGGCTTCTAATGTCCTGGCCCCACTGGTGGACCTCCTGATGGCACTGGTATTTCTGGCCACTGTGTGATACAGAGTGTTGGACTGGATGGGCCTTTGGCCTGATCTAACATTGGCGTCTCTTATGTTCTTATGGAGTGGCTCATCTGAGTGATTGTGCTTATTTTCTCCATGCTATGGGAAAAGGTTGATTTGCCAATGTCTACAGAAAGAGCTTTTCTTAAGGGAGCCAGGCCAAAAAAAACCCCTGATTCAAATCTTGCCTCTGTCACAATCTCTGCATGGCCTTATACAAACCAAATTCCCTCACATACACAAACACTCTCCTGCAATATGAGGCGGGTAATGCTGGCCTACTTTCCAGGGTTGCTGTACGGATAAGATAATGTACATGGAACATTCTGAAGTGCTATGTGAGTGCAAAGTAGAAGGGACCGTTTCCCAACTGGAATCTGGTTCAATTTCTGACCTGTTTAATCCCCGATGGTGATGGGAGGTGAGAGAAGCAAGCCTTCTTTCTCTCCCTATTCAGAGCAGCAGACATCAGTTTGCAAAAAGTGGGAAACAGACAGAAGATGGTTTTGAGCGGCAGGATTGTCCTTTGGGCCTGTTCCAACAACCTGCTGCTTAAAGCCAGCCAAACACGACTCAAGGCCGACTAGAGAAGAACAAAGGAACATTGGCAAGGGACTGTTCGTTGTGGGATGGGCCTGGGGGCTGCAACCAGGCATGGGGGGGGGAGGGCAGAGAGAGAAGGGATGCAGATAGGGGAGAATCCAGTGCAGGGCTGGAAGGGAAGGTTATGCAACCACAGATGTCAGTTATAGTAAATGGACACTATGTGCAGGGCTTGATTTCTTAAGAAAGGGAGAGGTGCAGAGGTTTGTGCCTACCATTTATTCTGAAGGGCCCTTAATTCCAAAGGCAAGGTGATGGTGGTGGTACCGGAAGGCATTCTGCATGTGTTCAGAGGCACTCCGCTATTGTAGCACAGACCCCAAAGGTCAAATTAAGCCCTGCCATCCCCACACACACAGAAAATTTTCTAACTTCCAAAACATCAGCCCTCCTCCTCTTCCTGCCTCAGTGGTTTCCCCACCGGATGCCCCCCTCCTACTTGAAGCCCCTAAAGTACTTTTGCTCAGGGTTGCAGGCTGGCAGTTCCACAGTGGAACAGAGATACACTCATGATGTGGTCAGCCACCCTGCATGCTTGCGTGATGCTGTGTGGGTTCCGGGGCTCTGCCCCCTATCCTGACAATTCCTTCCTACCATCGGACCTGAACCTGGTGAGGAGACTGAAAGGGGGGCGGACGCGGGGGGGGGGGGTGCCAAGAAGACAGCAGGGATGAGCGGAAGCAGGCAGGCAGGCAGGTGATTTTTGCCACTAAGACGGTTTGATACCTTTCCTTTTGCTGATGGGGCTCCTATGCCTTTCACTGTTGTTTTATGGACAGAAATTCAACAGGTAAAACTCCCCCCCCCTCCCAGCTGTACAGCCATATCAGAAAAAGCAACCTCTGCTTCATTTCTGTGCCTTTTGCATGGCTGTTAGACGGGCACCAGAAGGAAAGTCGGCAAGCCAGCAAGGAGGTCATGGAGAAGGCACTGAGGCCAGGATAGGGGTGGGTAGCCAATTAATAATAAACGCAACAAATATATTAAATAAATAATGGTTGAAGAGGGGGAATCTGCTCAGCTTATTTTTTCCTTTCTGTTAATTAAACCCTCTGCTCAGCTTAATTTTTCCTTTCTGTTTCAGACCCAGGCAGCCCTGATTTTCCAGGACTTTATGATACGGTTCAACAAAACCTACGGGAGCCAAGAAGGTAAGGGCTTCAGCCTACATTGCTAACTACAGGGTTTGGGGCTGGAGGGGAAATGGCTCATGTTGTCTTTTCTTACCAGTCTCCTATTTCTGGGGGGGGGGGGTAGGGCTGGCAGGCAGAAATTCAACAAGAAAAGTGTTGCCAAAAAAAAGGGGGGACTTGGCCTGTTTAATTCCTGCCTGCCCTGAACCTATTGAATCACAGGTGACCTGCCGGAGAACAGGCGGTATCTTTGTTCTCTCACATCCAGCCCTTCCCACCCCCATTGCAATCTTCCCCCCACCCCTGGCCAATTTGGCAGTTTTTGATAGCTAATTTTTACAGGCATCACTTGAGGTCGTTCACGGTTATTCCCATTTTATGGATATGGTATCTGAAACTGAGGGGCTGGATCGCGGTTATTTAGCAAGCTTTAGGGGCAGATCTTACATTGTCTCCAGAGCCTCCTCTGTGTTCTGCTTTCCCTCACTGAGAATGGTGGTGGTGGGTGTCTCCAGAATATGTCTTTGCAGGCCCGTAGCTAGGACATTTTTAGTGGGGGGGCCCTGGGGAAAGTGAGGGCCCCCCCCAAAGCCATGTGCACTGACATCGCAAAAAGTGCACTGACATCACAACAAATAAGAAATCAAATAAAAATATGCTCAGCACTGAGATGCACCCCCGCTCCCTCCCTGATGCCTAGCCAAGGCATGGATAGAGGGCTCCAAGAAAGGGAAAGAAATAGAAAAAAGGGAAAGAAAGAAATGGGGGAAAGGGAAACAAAGAAAGAGAAGGAAACAAAGAAAGAAAGAAATGGAAGAAAGGAAAGGGAAAGAAAATGAAAGCCTCTGTGCATGTTTGTTTTCCCCCCAAGTTCCAAAACCCCCCCCCCCCAGCAGTTAAAAAGGAGCTTGAAGGCTTACACTGTAATGTTTCCCTTTGGCTGTGGGTTCCCAGGCTAGAATACTCACTGAGCCGCCTGTCAGGTCCATTCAGCATATACAAAACGAAACTGAAACAAGAGCTCCATCCAACAGGACCAAACCAAATCACACAGATATTAGGGGAAGAGAGCAGACAATTCCACTACATGTATACAATGAATATACCACAAGATCACAAGAGCAAGACCGTTTTTGGGGTGGGGGAGTGAGAGAGCAACAGAAAATACACTGACGGACTGTTCTCTCCCCCCACTCCTCCTGCAGAGGCAGGTGAGGAAGCCCCATTCAACCTAGTGAGTGATACTCCTGCAGGGCCCTCTCTGGAACTGGCTTTTGAGCAAGGGAAACCTTTACCTTTACCTATATTTTGTATATTTAAAATTATTTAGAATTTATCATTGTGATATGTCTGACTTCATTTGAGTGATTTTTCTATGAGATTTTTAAATCATTTTTTATATTTTTTTGTGTTTTTATTTGAGGCCCCAGCAGATTGCGAGGCCCTAAACTGTAGCTT